ATCTGCCGCACTCGCCTACTCAAGCTAACAATCTTCGATATGCATTCCAGCAAAAAGATGTAAAAAATTTTTTACCCTCAACGAAATTTAGTTTTTTGACCAACTGATTGGACTGTTGTTGCCATGCTTTTTCAGTATCCCATATCCCGATGCTTCCTGTCGAATTAAGTTTACACTTATACTTTAAACTTTTTGTAATAGCACTTGGCTCAGTAATAAACGCATCGCAGTTCATAGCACATACTATGTAGTCAGTATTTGCATATTTATATAAGTTTATTGTAATGTTGTATTTTTAGAAAGCAGAAATCGTGAGGATGTTGAAAAAGTGTCATAAGACAAAGCTTGTGGCGGCCGTGGGCGACGGTGGCAATGACGTCAGCATGATTCAAGCCGCTGACGCAGGTATTGGAATTGTTGGAAAGGTAAACGTACGAGAATGGGTTACTTTTATGATTGAAGAGAAGCGAAAGCTACTAATATTGCCATTGTAGGAAGGCAAGCACGCATCGCTGGCAGCCGATTTTTCCATCAACCAGTTCAGCTTTCTCGGACGACTGTTTCTAGTGCACGGCAGGTTCTGCTACAAACGGTCATGCTCTTTGGCGCAGTTCGTAATCCACAGAGGTTTGATCATCTCCACTATGCAGGCGGTGTTCTCGTGTGTTTTCTACTTCGTGTCCGTGTCGCTTTACCAAGGAATGTTGATGGTCGCGTAAGTGGGTTGTTTTCGTGCGTCTTCATTCACGGACAGTTCATGATTGTTTGATGCTTGTTTAAGGTATTCCACAGTTTACACCATGTTTCCAGTGTTTTCGTTGACCATGGATCAAGATGTTGATGACCGAATTGCCATGACTTATCCAGAAATTTACAAGGAGTTAGGAAAGGTACGATTGTCCGTTATTCGTTATTTGGGGCCGGTCTTTATCAATGCTGGACACCACACAGAAATTTCGACTGTTCGTTTCTTCAGCAGATTGGTTTCTTACGCTTGATAAAAGTGGATCTGAAAAGAAAGCACTGACGCGCTAGATTGTAATTTAGGGTTGCACTTTAGAGGTGCAGTTTCGAATCGCAGGGCCCCATAAATATTTGAACTGTTAACTTCCTCGTTTCACTGTGCTTTGCTGCAACCGACCGATAGATTAATGGCACAGAAATAGGGTCTGCATGCTGTTTTAATGTAATCATGCCGTAGTATGCGAAACATACTTCCATTTCGTTTGGTACTTGAGCCTTAGAGTAGCATTTGGCGTTGATCCGCCTAATCACTGAATAAATCAAAACCAAGAACAAATCATAAATTAATAATTTACATTTTGATGTAATTATAAATTCATTTTTAGGGCAGGTCATTATCGTTGAAAACGTTTTTTCTCTGGTTTCTAGTCAGCATTTATCAAGGTATGATTTTGTCCGCAGTGAGATCTGGATATCGGTTGCTTGTGTTAGGTGCCGTGATCATGTACGGTGCCCTAGTGCTGTTCGACGCCGATTTCATTCACATCGTGTCCATCACGTTCACGTCACTTATTTTGACGGAACTCATCATGGTGGCACTGACGGTTCATAAGTGGCATTGGGCGATGGGACTGGCCGAAGTTTTTTCCTTTCTTGTCTATGCTCTGTCGTTGTTGTTCTTGCCAAGTTTCTTCGGTAAGCAAATCCAATTATCTTTTAGCATTTGGGCTCTAATGAAGTGAAATGCAGGATGTCGCATACAATATGACGTAATCGATTAACACTGCTGTAATCATGGCTTAGCCTTTAATTGTAGCATTGGTGGTTTTCTTAGCTTCATTGTTTTCACCTGTGGAACACGGTTGTTAGTCTAACCGCAGAGCTAACGAACTGTAATTATTTATAATAATTACGTATTGTTGTACGTTATTAATTATTGTA